TATATGTAAGATTGACGAAAGAAGTGAATCTTTGATTTATATTTCGTTCTTCAAATATTGTTGTAAATATTTATTTTGGATAAATATTTAAATTCATGATAAATAAATATAATATAATAAATAATATAAATAAATAAAAAATAATATAAAAAATAATAAATAAATATAAGAAACGTAAATTAAACAAACGAGTAAATCTGTAATAAATTTTTCAAACATAAATTGGCAAGAAAGTGCAGAAAAGAAGTGCAACGTTCTTTTTGAATATGGAATAAGAAGCGGAATTTTGTTCTTGTCAACCGTTCAACCAGATTAGATAACGCACTAACAATAAAATATTTGCAAACTATATAATTATATACTATTTATTTCGAGCAGTAACGATACTGCTTTACCTCAAACGAAATATTCCGTCGAGAATTCACTTTGTAAAAATATATAGAAGAGAAGTTATAAAAATAATTGTAAATACTAATACAAGGTTCAAGTAACGGAGAGAGAAATATTCGGAATAATATTTCTCGGCCTTAACATAAATATATCGATAAACATATTGATCTGAAAAAGTAGAATTAATTCTCGAATCAATTTTTTTAAATTAATTCCAAGATTATCAATCTTTGCGCTAAATAAGTTCGAAACAATTGTCTGCCTTTTGTTGCGATTGAAAACCGAGATTATCATTTTAACGTCATTAACTTCTTTGAAAGCTAGTAACTGAAAGCAAACAAATGTCAGAATCAACCGGTGGATCCAAAGGGAGAAGGAGTCCCTCTCGTTCCTTTTTCGTGGTGTTAATGACCCAGATAAGTGCCAGTGACTTTACGAAGATGTACAAGCCTGCTAGTCGTGGAAATAGAATTCCCACCACGGGCTCAATACTTTTGACCTAATATTTTCCAAACAACGCGAGTGAATTTGACGCGTAGCGAAAACTCTTTCGAATTCCATCGAACGGACGATAGGCTCGTCGCGGCGATTAGATTGCTTCTTATTGGTATAAATCAATTGTTCGTCCAAAAATGGGGGCAGAAATTTGCGTTGAATCGGACGACTCGAGCTGCTGGCCTTCAACCTTGCGCCAATGCGGCTACGATTAGAGTCAATGCACCTGCGTCGATGTAACGTACGAACGCTTATCGTAAAAAATATGTATGTATATATCAATAATTACTTTCGTTCCGTCAAAGGCGTCTCGTAATTACTTGTTTATCGCGCTTTCAAATTCATGGCTCTGTCTGAACAGTGTAGTTCTATTTCGACGATTTTCGAAATTTACAGATACGATGTACGACGACTCGAAAGAATTGATTGAATCAACTCGAATTATTCACCTTTCTCTCGCAACTAAATAAATAAATTCGATCTCTCCCAGCTCGTTTCAATAAAAATTATTTACACGAAATATGACTTATTGTTTGTTTAAAATCCAAGTGCGCACGATCAATCCACTCTATGACAGAATAATTTCAACATTCGCAAAATTTGTTCTTCTTGTACATTCTTTGTAAAAGCATGTGCAGATTGTTCGGGACGTTGCTATTGCAACGTGTTTAAATAATTGGCCGATCTCTTTTCGTTTAAGCAATCATATTTGTCGCTGTTACTCTGTATTATGTATGACCTCAGTAAAAAACAGATGGCTCGAAACTGCGAGCGGAACAGTGAAAGAAGAGAAGGAAGTCTGGATACAGATACTTGCATGCAAAGGAATTGATAAAGACAAGCGACTTCTCGGACTTCTTTATGATTCATTCGTATGCGCTGCGTGGTTGAAGAATCTAACAGTTCCCACGGAAGTTTACGTTGAATTCTTACTTCCTGTTTTCCTACTCCAGTTTACTGGACTAAAGTCTGGTGGCCTGGTACTCTGAAAATCTTTTTTTCATATCGCAGATACTGACGATGCAAGTGACGAACTGTTTGATAAAAACAAATCGATTTCCTTTAGGAAATGATATGTTATAAAAGTTGTGAAAGAAGTATTGATTGAAGGAGCACGGGAGGCGTAGCCTGGTAAAATTAGGTCAAAGTACAAGATCCCGGGCTTCGAAGTTGTCCAGGGTCGATAGCACACGCAACGAAATGGAAAGCAGAAATAGTTGACCAGAACGTAGGGATCTCCCCGAGTTACAACAGTTTAAATAAATTCGAGGGGCCAAAAAAATAGGTAATCACATCGAGTGAAAGTAATGTGAAATAAAGTATGTATATACATCAATTTATATGAAACTAAGACACGACTGTTGAAAATTAAAAAAAGGAAACTGATCATTCTAAAACAGATTTTTTTTTTTAATAATGATGGACAATAATGGACTCGAATTTGGGAATAATAAGTTAAATATTAATTTCTGAAATGAAATGGAATCTTAAATTCCAACAGGTCTCAGAAAAGTTATAAAAATATAATAAGTCCTCTCTAAAGAATTAAGTGCAAAAAGTATGAAAAAGAAATTTATTGAAAATTTCATAAAACTATGAAAACGGAGGTCGGTCTAAAAAGAATATAGAAAAATTATTGTTGAAAGTCTATCATTAACTGTATTTTTACTAATTTCATTGTTTTCACGGTATTATTATTTTTCCCCCAAAAAAAGAAAGAGCAAAAAATATTTTTTGATATTATCCTACACTCACGTAGAAAGCATATGCTTGTCCTTGTATATTGAACAACTTTATTCGATCAATAAAGCTTTCTAAGAACCAATAAGTGAATTTATACCTCAGCATGAGAAATGTTCCATTCCATCATGTGCTTTCAATGTATTTCTATGGCCATCGTACATTTTAAGTAGAAAAACTACATCGAATGAAAACTTGCATTGTTTAATTTTAAATTCATAATTTTTCTCTCTCGAAGGAAATACTTTGCATTTCAAAAAAAAAAAAGCAAGAGTAAGTTTATCTTGTGTTACCTTGTTTCCTAGCTTATATTTTCAATGTGTTATGTTTAATTCTAATATTTTACTACACGACTTCTTCATTGTAAATTGTAATATTTTGCAATGCGATCCGATGATCTCGTGTCTTAATATATTGTAACACGAGCTCTCAATTGTAAATCCCAATATTTTGCAATACGAGCCACTAGTTTAAAAATCCGATGTTTTGCAACACGAGCCGATCTGTATTTGGCGATAAAGAGTTCACTGTACTCGCTCTTCGTAAGTAGTGAAGCATCCAGAATAGTCAGACGCGCAGACGATCATAAACACAAAATACAGCATAACAACGAATGGCTCATCTCGGCGTTGCATCAAGTCTACTATTGAGTGTTTCGTGCAAATTCACATTTTTATAAGCACAATTAAAGAAACAAAATTAGAAAATGCATCGTTTCATATATTATGGTATATTTTACTTTGAATATTTTATACTTTCTTGCGTATTATACGCATTTTTCCCTCGTAAACTCATAAACATCCCGATTACAAATTACGTTAAACTGCTTATTAAAATTGATTTACCTGCAAGTTCGAAGATAAAATGCATTTCCCAAGTTTCTAGTAAATTCACTTATATGTATTATTAAAAATATTAAACTATTGCTTTTATTTCTTGCTTATATTATTTAACTGCAGTTTAAAAAAAAATATATCCTTTCAAACATCTATCACATTACTACTAAATGTCCTTTCAGTGTCACAGTTTTAATTTTCTAACTTTGAATAACGCTTTTCTCCACAATTCTGTTCCACTGACGAATTCTAACTAAAGCGATTTCTCTCTCCGAAATGTTCCAAACCGACTCGTAAATATGTATACGTTGATACCCTGTGTAAATTGCTGTAAAAGACAACTCATGTGAATCATTCACTTCCTCTCAATAAGCAACAACAAAAGCTTCAACAACTTTTTTAAGTTGCAGTTGATATCCTAATTCACGATGAGAGACAACACACAAAATGGACCAAATAAATTGCAATGGTGACTTCTAATATTATACGTATATTAAAATGTCGTTTTACATTAAAACTCGATTTAATAAAAAAATCATAAATCATTTATAATTATAATCCGATATTTTCTACTTGATATGAACTATGAACTATGACAATAAATTATGAGTAATTGTATCCGAAAATAAATGCACATTTAATTTATAATGCCACGTATATAAATATTAATGTGATAGTGTAAAAACTTATTTTAGAAAAAAATAAGAAAAAATTAACATCGCCCAACGTGGGGCTCGAACCCACGACCCTGAGATTAAGAGTCTCATGCTCTACCGACTGAGCTAGCCGGGCTTGGTACTAGAGTTTTCCTAAATCTTAATTAAATTTTAAATATAACATTAAAGTTCAAATTTAAAAATTAAATTCATTAAATAAATGTAAATGATTTTATAATATATATAATATAATTAACTCTCAAATTCTTTTATAATACGTGCATAACACTCTCAAATGGATCACCTTCGATCCATGCAAAATATGATTTTCTATTCTAATTATAATATAAAACAATTATAAATTTATAGAATATATTCAAACTATTCTTTTCCTTATATAATGTAAACGTCGCCAGATGATATTTAATATTTACAATTCCGATATGGATTAAAAGTTTCGGCAGTTTCAGGGTAACGCGAATGAGGAATAATTAAAAGAACTTTTACTATACATGCATTTCTACGAATATTATTTGTTACTATAAATATTAATTCTAAATAAGCAAATTATTTTACGCAAATTTAGATAATATCGAAAACAGACTTACAAAAAATATATTGTGGCTGTATTTTTGATCGTTTCGCGCTGACTTGGTTTCTTTTGTTATTTCCCGCACTTTTCACAGTCATTACGAAATAATTTTTTCATCTGTCACGAAATTAAAAGTTTTGTTAGTTCCACCGAGACGCGCCACAAATTTGTAAATTTTTGCACAAATCCAGTTCTATAATAGTTAATTGTTCAAATTGCAAAAGAGAAATTTTTTTAACGAACTTGACGAAAGAATTGAAGCAATACCGAATTTCGTCACTTGGTGGCTCTGAAAACATTTTCTACAGCGGATGTTATGCGCGCAACGTGGTTAAGGTTGAATCTGTCGTTAGTTTGAATTCGCGTAACACGTGTTAATTTGTAATCTCTTGGTGAATAATCTTCTTTTGTACGAATTATTGCTAGCATATTGTTTGAATAACAATGCCACGTTTCGCGAAAGACTCGGATGAAGAGATGGGCGTAAAATCTGGTTTGTATTTTTCATTTTTTAATCTCTGCGCACGCGGTTGACTCACTCAGTTACTGAATGTAACGGTCGATTCAGCGTTAAATATTCTACTTTTGTCAGTTTAACAGTACAAACACTTTGCACAAATACTTATTTTAATGCATCTCGGGGCAAATAATTCATATTTCGCGAGATTCGATTGTATTACTTCGTTTTTCTTCATCTTGCCTTTAAAACAGTAGGCCGCAAGACCCGTGCTCACATCGAGGCAGCATTGCTTGATTCTCCACTTCGTCGTAGCACTCGAAATAAGACAAAACAAAATGAGTCTTCACCAGATTCACCTATAAGCGATACGGGCAATATACAGATTGCAAAAATCAAGAAACGAGGAAGTGCCATGGATAATCCCACTACTGCTGAAAGTCGACGAACGTTACGTTCCAAAATAAATTCTGTGTTCTCTGATATTAATGAAGAATCAGATGTTGGCACACCAACAAGGAAAACCAGAAACAATGCTTTGAATGATACTAATAAGGTCAACACTCGAAGAAGGTACAATTAGTAATTTGTGTGTGCGTGCGTGTGTGTGCATGTATGAATTTATTATTTATAATTATATATTATTTTTTATTGTTGCTCAGTAAATGTTTTACAAGAGCTAGTTCAGAAGCTAAGTCTCCACCAACAACAGGAGTTAGACGTAGTACAAGAGCTAGTTCCATAGAACCTGAAGCAATGACATCAAGTAAGTTAGACAAGCATCAGAGTGAATTAATAAGTACACCTATTAAGACAAGAAGAAGAGTTTCAATGTTACCCTCAGAAGCAACGGTTTTAGAGGAGAAAGAATGTAAAAAGATTGCCGTTGTGACATTAGATCGTACATTATCTAATGTCATTGAAATTAAAGAAACAGGTATATTATATCTTACAGATATACTTAAGTTTTAAAAAATCTAGTTTTCTAATGCTGTATTGAATTTTAAAAGCGGAAACTGTTGATAAGACACTACAAAAGAACGAATCATTGTCAACTTCCAAAAATAAACTTAATGCAAGCCAAAAGAGTATAGATGAGAAACATTTAGAAGATAATGGTGAGTTTAATTATTGTTATAATTTAGTTTAGTATATTATATTAATTCTAAGTAGATTGCAATTTTTGCAAAAAATTTTGCACTTTTTAACTAACAATTCTATTAATAATATTTTTTTAAATAGAAAATAATATATGAACTAACAATTAAATTTACATTTACAACAGTTCAGGAGCCATACAACAATTCTTCAGAAAATCTTTCTTCAAATAGTTCTAATAATGTTGAAGATGTTGAAAAAAATGTATCTGCTGATGATAAAAAGATACCAGATAATGATAAAAATGCACTAGAAAGTAGTGAAACATCTGCAGAAATAGAACTGTCAATAGATAGTGATTCTAAAAAAAAAGACATGTCCATAGAAATAGATTTAAAACTTGATGATTCAAATAACTCAATAGAAAAACATGATAGTCACTCTAATAAAGAGAATCTTACAACAAATATTGACATACAAGATACAAAAAATGCAGCTTCTAGTACACAGCAAACTTCAAAATCTTTATCTGAGTCAGATGAAGAAACAAGCAAATATCCTTGGATTGGAACAAATATATCACCAAAACGTCGACACTCTATACAGTTATTAGAAATGTCAAATGAAAATATTTCTGTCAAAAAAACTAATGATACTAATAATACAATTAATTTATCAGTTACAAATTTGGATGTCTCAACAAAAGAAGAAGATAAATCCGATAATATACAAAAACTAGTTGTAAACACAGAAACAGAATTCATCATTGGCAGTCCATCTAGTGAAAAGTTAGATAAAACTTCTATACAAGTATCTATAAATTCAAGTTCAAATGATAGTATTGAAATTGTGAAAGATACAAAAGATATCAATACAATAGATGACAATAAACCTATAGAAATTGGCACTGAACTAAATGAAACAGAGAAAATGTGTATCAATGAAATTGGCACTGAACTAAATGAAACAGAGAAAATGTGTATCAATGAAAGTAAAGAAAATGTAGATATCGAAATGAATACTTCAAATCTAAAAGAAGATATGAATGAGAATAAATCTGAAGAAAATAATACAAGCCAATGTGTAACTAGTGGTCAGTGTGATACAAAAAACAAAAATGATAATTTAAACATATCAGAAGATGTACGTGAAAAAGATGAAATAAATTATACAGAATTAATTACATTTCCAAAATCAAGTAATATTAATTCGCCGAATTCAGCAGATGTGAAATTAATTTCAAAGCACAAGGATATACATTGTTCGCAAAAGAATGAAATGGATAATTTACCTTCTAACAACAACAATTTGTTAAAATCCTCAGATACTCATACGAACCTAAAAGATTCTGTTTTAAATAATATAAATGAAATTAATGTAAATAATGTGATTAAAAGCAGTGACTCTTCCATTGTTGCAGAGACTCGTGCTGAACTTGTTGAAGAAATGTCTAAAAGGGGAGAACATTCAAAGAATGTTTCTGTAGTGGATGATTTCTGTACTGATTCTTTGGCATTGAAGAAACAATGTGAAAACAAATTAGAATTGAATGGGAAACATTCAGACGTTAATCAAGTGGTGTCTAAAGAATGTCAAGAAAACATGAAAATTGATGATAATGATTCTGATACAAATATGACAAATGTATTTCAAGATATTCTAGCTAGTGAATGGAAAGGACAGGATAACAATACTAATAAAAAACCTATACATTTAAACTCAACTGAAAATGAAAGCGAAGGTGAATGTGATCTTATTTTAGTCGATAGAGAAGCATGGTTAGCTGCGGAAAATCTGAAAACAAATAAAGAAACAAATACTTCTGATTATGATTCGGATGATACTGTTATATCAAAAGCATTCACAGATTTCATGAAAGCACGAAAGAATGAAAAAAAACTTATGGATACATTAAAAGAGGAATACAATTTAAATGATAGTCAAGATAAGTCTTCCAATGCAAAGAAACGAAAACTCATGAAAGAAAATAAAAATAGAAACGAAGAAGGGAATACAATGGAAGATACAGAAAATATTACACAAGATGTAAGAATGTCAATAAATGTAGATAAGAATGTATCTCTGACAAAAAATAGTGATAAACATTCTACTTCTAAGAATAATAAATCTATTCAAAAATCATTGGAAGATGAAAGTTTATCTGAATCATATAAAGTAGGGGAAAAAAATGTATCATTAAATGAACATAAATTGTCAGAAGATGTACCAAAAAAACGAAAATCTCTTAATAAGTCAATACAGAAAGAAGAAACAAACAAACTTGAAGAATTTAATAAAGAAACTGTAGAAAAGAGGAATTCTTTAAATAAATCTAATTGTGAAAATGTAGTTGCATCTGCTAAGAAAAATGAAAAAGATCAGTTATTAAATACTTCTTTAAAGAAAAAAATAAAACCACAACAGTTAAATGTAGAAATCTCAGAAGAATCTGACAACGAATTGAAAAAAGCTGAGTTTAGGAAGAAGCAAGATGAAAGTGATGAAAGTAGAAATATTTCTGATTCTGATGATTCAACAAATAAATCATTGAAAATACCAACATTTTTATTTCGTGGAGTAAGCGACAGTAGCGACGATAATGATGAATCTAACACTATAGATTCTGACATCAAAATGGAATATAATTTTGATGGTTTGGAACTTCCTGAGGATGATGTGCCAGGAGACGAATGTAGAGCATCAGAAACGGAATCGTCAGATTCAAATGATAATGGATCAGATCTTGCAGATTTTGTAGTTGATGATGATGATGATGATGATGATGATGATGATGATGAAGATGAAGATGAAGATGAAGATGAAGATGAAGATGAAAATGAAAAAGAAATTAAAAGCGAGGAGGAGGAAGTTGAAATTGAAAATGATTTAAATAATAAACAGGATGTTAAAGAAGATGAAAAAGAAACAGAAGAAATAATTCAGAAAAAAGAACATGAAAATGACAATAAAAATATCGATGAAAAAGATAAAAGTAAATTGATGGATACTTCTAATATAGAAAAAAATAAATCAAGGAAATCTAATGATTTAAATATATCTCAAACTATTGGAAGTGACAAGAAGAAGAAGAAACTTAAACTAGGTACATCTCAAACAAAAGATGAAAGTGAATTGATGGATATTTCTAACACAGAAAAAAATAAATCAAGAAAATCTAATGATTTAAGTATATCTCAAACTATTGGAAGTGACCAGAAGAAGAAGAAGAAAGTTGAAGTAGATACATCTCAGACAAAAGATGGAGGTAAATTGATGGATACTTCTAATCTAGAAGAAAATAAATCAAGAAAATCTAATGATTTAAGTATATCTCAAATTATTGGAAGTGACAAGAAGAAGAAGAAGAAGAAAGTTAAAATAGATACATCTCAGACAGAAAAAGACGACGAGGAAGATAGTTATACTAATTTGTTTTTTGAAACAGAAAAAATAAAACAAAAACAAGATTTTGGGGAACTTGTAAGTGAGAATATAGAAAAGTTAAACGAGTCCCAATTATCTAAAGTAGAAAAATTTAGAAAATCAATAGAATGTAGTACTCCTAAAATAAATATATCTAAACAAGAAATCTGTGATATTAAAAAACAGGATTCTTCTAACAAAGAAAGAAATAAAAACTTGACATTCAAGGAAAAACGAAATTTAAAGAAATTAGATGATATAAAAGTCAATGAAAGTCTTACTCATAGAAGTTTACCATCTGAATTAATTGAATTAACAACAGAAACAAATCTCTCAAGACCAATGTCGTCTAAAATATTAGAATTAAACAAAGAAGCATTAGTTTCAAAAAATAAGACAACTTGTACAACAAAATGTCTGAAAAAAGAAAAATTAAACGAAAGTGCACCAACACTAAAATTAGATGCTAAGTCCAAGGAAGTTCAATTAATAATTGCTAGTAATAGCAGCATACAGAATGATCAAAATAAAACGGAAAACGAAAACAAAGATGAACAAACAACAGCGGATATAAATGATTCATTAAAAAGAAAATTGCTTAAAGTAGCAGGAAACATATTAGAAAGCGATCGTCATAAGAAACATAAAAAACGAAAGCAATTAACATTTGAAGAAACTCCTAATGTTATTTTATCTAGAAATGACTTTAAAAAAGATAATGATTCATTATTAACAAAGACAACTCAACAGTTTGTTCCTATTACCAATATTGACAATAATGAAATAGAAAAAGAAAATAAGAAAAAGAAAAAAAAGAAAAAGGAAAGAGATAATATCGATGTGCAAACACGAGAAAAAATAAATAAAGAAATTAAAACAAAACCAGAAAGTCGAAATAAAAAAATACATGATGAAATAAAAAAGAAAAAAAAGAAAGAAAAAAAAGTTGAAAGCGTTTCAGATTTTACAAGTGAAAAGAGTAAAATAATAAAGAAAGAAAAGAAAATTTCAAGTTCTTTATCAAATGAGAATGTTTCGAATGAGCAACCGTCTAAGAAGAAACACAAAAAGCAGAAATTATTAATAAAAGATGATGTTTTGCAGCACGGAAAAGTTTCAGTTAAAAAAGTTCCTGAAGAAAACCAGATATTATCAAGTGATATTTTAAATCAGACTAAAAACACGTTAGCTAAAAAATTATCAGAGGAAGAGAGAAAGTATAAATTATTAGAAAATATTGTAGCATCTCGTAAAAAGCAACAATTGAAAGATGCAATGTCTGATTCTGATGAAGGACCAGAAACGATTACATTTTCTAAAGCTCGAGATGATGCGATGGAATTGTTAAAAAGCACTACCGATAGTATTAAAGCTAACAAAGAAATGAAAAAGAAGAAACAGAAAGAGCACACAGAAAAAATGCGGAAACAAAAAGAAATTAAGATTAAAGAATTGGAATCCAAAAATCAAATAATAGAATCTAGTAAAATGAAAGAACAAGGGAAAGGTGCGAAACGACTTGCTGATGATGTACTTGAAAATTTATCGGATGTTCCATTAAAATCAATGAAAAAAAGGAGAATATCAGAAGAATCTTCGACATTTAATTCCAAACCTATTATAAAGGTAAAAAATATGACCGTAGAAGAAGATTTTCTTACTTTACCAAGTTGTTCTGGAAGTACAACTCAATTTAGTGTTATTGATATTCAAACAATTAAAAAAAGCAAGAAAATTCCAAGAATAAGTTCATTTCGGGAAAAGATGCTTGCTAGGAATTCACGACAGCCCGTTTCTGCTTACTTAATGTATTTGAAAAAGCAAGAAATGTTAGGTAAACAAAAGTTTTATAATAAACCATATTAAATTTTTAAAACATTTTGCGTTATATGATCTGTAGGCATTATAAAATAGTTTTAAATATTATATTGGTTACAAAGTTAATATTTAATTTACAGAATACATATTTCTATTTACCTTGCATTTTAAAAAAAATTAATTGTTCCCAAAATTATCTTAGTCTTTATTATTCTAATGCTTACATATCTACTTTTAAAAATTGTTTTCGTAAAATTAAAAAATAAATGACTAAAAGTCCTTTTATTTTTAATTTTTTTATATTTGCGATTATTTTCCATGTCGTAATTGTAATTTATTATTAGCATAAAATAATGTATATTTTTAATATAAAATACAATTGTATTTTTAGTCAAAATCCTTGCATGCATGTTCAATATTACTTTATTTATAGATATACGATAAAGTTAAGATGTAATCCAAAAATAAAACGATATGAATATTTGTTTCTATTTGCAACTCCCAACTTTATTATTTTTATTATTATTGTATGTTTCAAATAATCCATATTTTGATTATATAAAAATAATTGAGTGTTTAATGTTTAATAAAAATTTTAAAATAATCAATTAACAAACAAATTAAATTTAACATTCTCTTTAATTTGATATCCATCTTATAAATGTGTATGTTCTGTTAAATAAATTTTTACATACTGTAAAAATTCTCATTAAATTTACAAGGAGTAAAAAAGTTTATTAATAATATGATATTTGTACATTTCTATAAAATAATTATTGAATGAGAATTAATTATGAGACTTTGTTTTCTAGTTCTTCGTGCTTTTTTTTTACAATTCATATTATTGACAGAATAATACTTCTTTAATAATTTTCTTTTAAATTAGTATTTAGTTATTCTCTCTATAAATTTCTCTATTTTCAAACATGTATTGTACAATCTTCAGATATTTCTTTCTTCAAATTCAAAAAACAAGCACCATTTGCTGCATTATTTTCTCCCGTAAATATAATACATGCCAAACCATTCATTGCCATATGCTGCCATAATTTATGTACCCATTTATTTACAGTACGGAACGTTTTTTGTATTTTATCATTTTTTAATTTTTCTTGTTCTATCTTAACATGACATAAAGTAAAAGCATGCTCCATAGCTATTTGTGAAGCTCGGAGGACGGCCTGTTTATCATTGTCCGCGATTACAAGACGTACCTGCATAACAATAAAATTATCATAATATAGATATCAGATATTATTAATATACGTAGTTGATTTAAGATTAAATACTTGATTGCATACTTGATCGTTTTTACTAAAATTTTCATCATCCATAATATTGATAGAAGAAGTTAAATATTTCGAGTATTCATTCATAACTTCTCCGTTACCCACAATGGCAGCAGTTTTTTTATCCTTTACTACATATTTGAAAATTGAGGTGGCATATTTTTGTATTTCAGTTTTTAATGATCTTTGATCATCTGTCATTTTCTCTGGCTCCATCTTTAATATTTCCATGTTGCAACAGCCAAGTAACACAGCATCTCCAAAATCTACACTATTTGCTAATTTTAATTGTACTAATTTCATAGAAGCCTGTGAATCTTCAGTTGAACAATGGCCAGATATATTTTCTTGTATTCTTTCACCGAGAAATTCTCTCACTAAAGTTTGTAACTTTGATTTTCGATATCTATAATTATATACAATATTTAGTACAATTTGTTTAAAAAAATTTTTATGGGAATATAACTGTAATATAAAGAGGAAAAAATGATGTACCTGTCACCAGTAATATTAAAAATTACGGATGTATCAATGATGTATGGATGCATCATTTTTAACGTATGGAGATCAGAGTTTAAACTTTGTCCTACAAGAATTGCATCTGGAGGAAGCAATTTTCTCAATATTTGTTGAACATCGGACAACGTAGTTGTGACACCTTCTAACATATCTTTTGTTATACCACTGAATCGAGTAAGATAGTCCATGATAGGATTATCCGGTTTTACCAGACTATCGTAAATAATCTGTGGTAAGAATTTAATAGAATTTGTATACCCTGCTTATTCTAATAACTTCAAAATTGAACTTACTTTCATACTTTCATCTACGAGAGATATTCTCGTTAATTCCAATTCTCCACTAGTTGTTTTACACATTTCACAATCCAAACCAATCATTGGAGATCTCTCATTGGCTTCTACATAAACATCTTTTGTCATTATATAATTTCCATATCTAAATATAAAATTTTTGTTTATTTAATGTCTAAATTCAATATTTTAAAATATTTGTATTATTGGTACTAACTTTTTTGCTAATTCTCCTTTCAGTGGAACAGGATAATTTTCTTCTACCATTTGACATAAAGATAAAAGTAATTTTGTACGTGGAAATTTATCAGTTCCAGGAAGACCATATTTTGTTTTAAATTTTTCCGCATTTGTTGATGGAACTCCATGCATTGGAAACACAGTTCGTAATAATTTTATTACATCACCGCTACTACGTAATGCAGCTTCTAATGATCCATATTCTGAAAAATCAAATATGCTATTTACATATTATACAAATACTTTATTATTTTAAAATGCACATACTTTTAAGTAATTTATCGCTTTGTATTCCGGTTATGGGAACAGCTGCAAGTTCTTCTATTACTGATCCTCCATAGACTGTTGGTGTCACAACTTCTACTCTATGTTCCAACTTTGATGTTATATGTGGAAACATATTTTCATAAGCCATAAAATGATATAGAGAAAGTCCTTCAACAACAAGAACCACAGTGTGTGCGACCTTCTCAAAAAATTTGTAATTTGAATATTTCAGAAATTCATTTTTACTATTTTGTATATTTAATATTTACATTACCCTGTTATATTTTTCAAGATGACACCATCTTGTTGGCATATAGGGTGAGTGATGACCATGTAATGAGTACAATAATAAATGTTGTACATCGCTAAGAAAAATAGGAATTCTATCTTCACTTTTAACATTAATAGTTAAACTAGCACTTTCACCAACTGCTTTCAAACGAAATCGTGGTATTGTTTTAAGTTTCTTTTTACGTTCTCTCAATTCTTGTTTTAATTTTAAATAATCATCTCCACTTAATCTACATCAAAAATAATAGTTAATAAAATAATAATAATAATAATAATAATAATAATAATAACAATAATATATATTCATGTATCAAATTAAATATAATCATTTTATTACAAACCTAGGCTTTTTATTAGCAAGCGTATCTGATTCTTTTGTATCCATTTCATTTTCTTTTTTAATAGAATTATCCAAAAATGTTTCTTTTAAATCTTCATCACATGGACGTTTACGTTTTACATTTTCTTCCATAGAAATCTCATTGCTGTCTGTATCATTTGATTCATCTAATATTGTAGACTAAAACAATATTTATCATATAAACTTTACAAATATAAAAATATTATAACTTAAGAATACTAACAGTTTTCTTAAGCATTTTGGCTTCTCTATCTTTATCATTTAATTTAGTTATTTCCAGAAGTGCAGCCATCTTCTTTTTCTTTTTTTCTATTCTTTGTAATTGTTTTGTTGTTAGATTCTTCATGATATTTCTTTTTCTTGTATTTTTTGAAAAAGATTATCAAGCACCTTTAAAAATACAAGTGACAAAAATTTGCACGTAAATTTATAAGTCAGATTAAAACATTGATTACTATGTAAACATCAATAAGAGGTTTACATTGTTTATAAAAAATAATTTGAAATTTAAAGCAAAAAGAAGATAGAAACATAAATTTAATGATATATATATATTTTTAAAGAAAATTCCTATACAACATAATAAGACAAAATAAATTATAGAATTGAAATATATTCTATACTTTACATTTTCTTGACAAGATATATGTATGAGGTTACATGTGAAACTTAGCTTTAATATTAAAAATAGACTATCAATTACAATTACCTCAAATTCAAAGAAATTGAAGGAAAAGAAAAAAAATTTAAATAATATTTGAATGATAAACAATGTCAAAGAAATGTTATACATCTCTGTGTGAGAAATGTAAATATGAGAGTTGAATATAACCTTTTAAAAATAAATACATTTGCTTATATAAAAATTCAAAAACAAAGTTCTTGAATTTCATGTGACAAGAGTTAACACAATAATCAAATTTGATGTTCACTACAAGAATGTATCTATATTATAATAAGAATTATAATAAGTTTTATCATTTTCCTCCCCATTACTTGGTTACCATCCATTGTTAAATACTAAAAATGCCACTTGATAAACAACACAGCATATGTTTTTATAGAAATTATACACTGGATATAACAATATTGGACAAAATATTGTTTCATTTATTTCAGTTGCACAAATTAATAAACGTGTTTAAACAAAATAGCAGAAACATAAACTTTGGCGATCTGCACGTGTATTTATATTATGCAATTTCTTAAAATTGTTTACATAATAAAAATGTCAAAGTGAAACAAACTTTAAAATGGAAGCAAAGATACAATATCTATAGCAGGTAATTCACATTTTGTTTGTATTTAATTAATATTTGTTATAAAGAATTTGTTAAAAAGAAATAATACCATTGTTGATTGTAAATAAGGTTATGTTTTCATTGCATTTTCTTCTCAAAAAGATAACTGTGTTTAGAAATGTAATTTATGTAATACACCCACAATTTCTAACTTGATATTCTTGAAACCATAAATAAATATTAATTACAAAGTTCAGAGTTTTGTAAACCGCAAATGTTGAGACATTAAAAAATACATATTACTTTTCTACCGTGCAACATACGCCGCTAGAGGTCAGTAACTGATTAATTACAATAAAATTGTATCGATTGAAATGGATTGAAAATATAAATTTAATATCTTCTTAAAAGAAGATATTTTTTAAAAGCTTTTCTTTTTTTTCTAATACGAAGATAAATCTTTGTTTCTTTATTAATTTAATGACACCTTTTGAAAACAAAATGATTTTCCCTATATTGCAATATAATTGAATGAATTATGATTGGATTATATACAGAGAATAATAATGTTGAGATTTTGTATTCTAGACTTGTTTCTTTTATTTGAAAAATATATATCTAATTCATATGCCAAATTGTATGCTTTGAAATGTACACAAGAAACATATGTTTCTTTCTTTAATCAGGAATGTAATGACAAGCATACTATACAAAAATTATTTTTAATATTTTGTTTTCGTCCCACTATTGTACTTCAATTTTTATTTAAAATCGTATAAATTGCAACATGAATATTCCTCATTGTAATATATTAAATAATCTGTTAAATTTTTTAACAAATTCGAAAAATTTAAAAATATTAATAAACAAATTGGGAATATATGTAAATAAATTTGATGAAAAAAATGAGATTATTGCAAAATGTTAACTAATATAATTTAAAATCATAAAATGAAAGTTTAAAGTGGAAACATTTTAATTTTAGATCTAATATAAATCGATATATCGCTGTCGAGAAAGATCGTAGATACGCTACTGCCAGAGAAAGCGAGTATTCACGACAGTGACACAAGCATCCAGTTAGGATGTTACATATACGTATATACGAAAGAGATCAAAAGATTCTAAGCGTGTACGATTATGCGCTTTATGCATCGGTGTGCATTCCCCACCCGCACGGTGAAAACATATTTTTATCTTGGATCTACTTCTTTCTTTATAAAGTAGCTCGCTGTGTATTAACGCGGAGTGCTTTTCTATACTGGGTGTCTGCTATTTTTCCTACTATAATACAATCGTGTAACTTAATCGTAAGCTTAATTCAAATGTTTTTAATACATATGTATATTTTTATTCAGTTTATTGTAATAATACAATTATGGAACACAAAATTAATATAATAATACAGTTATGCGACATATAGAAAGGACGCCTAAGGCCTTAAACAATAATAAAAATTCATCTTCACTCTTCACAATTTATACAATTATACAACAAAATTTGATAAGTAATTTCTATTCAATTAAAGCGGCGATGGGGTTCCGTTGGATCTTCGCCTTTATAGATTACATAGATACTTACAATAAAATAGAGAAAAAAACAAACATATAATTAACAGCGGAAATGATAAAATTAACAATAAATGGATTATGAGTAAATATCATTAACGAAGAACAGAGTAATATTTATTTATTCAAATGATTCGAGTAAATTGAACATTAAGACTACTTTATCGACGATCGATTATATATTTCAGACGGTGTGAATTATTACTGTGGTAATCGAGATATATCGAATACTTCGATATTGCATCAAGTTATCGAACTCAGTAGTTCCCGAGTCTTAACGGACATTGCAATGAATTTGACATTATTTCGTTATTAAATTCATTAAATAGTGCAGCCTATGAATCGAAAGAAGTGCAAACATTACTAGAAAATGATTAATCATAATTTCAAATAATAAAATGTCGTTCAAAGCTACCACGACGTTTGCTACATTAGGAAAAAGTAGCTGTGTTTAATAGAGAGTATTAACTGTTTGGTTTCTACTGAATTAAAGTATACAACGATGTATTATTCATATTGTTTCCATAGATTTCAACGAATAGAATTAAAATATATCGTAGGAAGAGGTAAGATAAAAATCGTACATAATTCTTTCTCTAAAAAAAAAATTACAAGTTCGAAATTATAAATTGATTAATCGATTTTTAAATAGGAGTTTGTACACGTATTTAATGCCGATGTCAACCGTTACACACGTCTATAATTACATTCATTGCTAAGAGAAGTTTGCGATTAAAACTGTCGGTGCATGTACTTAATTGCACTATTGTCCCCATTATAATGTAATTAACACCGATATAGGAATCGAGGTAAAGTGTTCTTTCATATGGATTTGCACGAGGTTACCTTTCATGATAATATTTCATAAAATTCGTAATGCGAATTGAAGAACATATGTAATTTGATCAATTTACATATTTTTCGAGAACATTAAGATGAACCAATGACAATATAATCTGAAACAAATATTTCAGAAAGGATTATATACATTGTATCTATGCATTGAAAAATGAATGTGGCAATAAATCCGTCATTCACTTTGATGGCGAGAGTGTATTATTGTTGTCCAATCAAAGGAATGAAATCCTGTTAGATTTCAAGCAACTGCAAAGAATTTGAATGACGTTGATTGATTAATAACATCCTAATTTTTTATTGGACGTTATTTTTCCAACGTCAATCTTGTTCTGCTTGATTGACATCAAGAAGTATTTATATTAATGATTGTTTAAAGTTCTCCTTTGAAACTTTAACTCTTTCTGAACATTTTTTTAATATAAAAGAAATAAATCAGTATAAAGATAAAACATTCGTTTTATAAATATCATGTTACTTTCAATAAGCTTTAAAGAAGAATATATAAAACGGTTGCAATGTAAAACTCTATCAATTTCATAGATTAATTGCCAATTATTTTACACTTATTTTCTTTTAATACTTATAATAACTTAATTCTAAAAAAGAAAATAATCACTAGTTTCCGAATCAAAAGTAACCTTTAATATTGTTTTACAGAAATGAATGTTCAAAAAAGAGGGACAGTTTCTATATATAACGTGATATCTTTATATCTTCACGCGACAGTTTAACCGGAGAAAATCCCATTCACGTACTCGAATCAGTTGGAACCAGGTCAAACAGAAGAGATACGCAGTGTTCGCGCTTTGTTTTCAATTATTACGACGAATTACGAGGTAATCTTTGTCTTTTCTCCAGAGCACACGTTATACGAATATGTAGGTACTTCCTAGAATTGCCAGGAATTGCAGAAAACGATGAGACCAGAATTCACGATGCTCGTGCGATCACTCGCGGGTGTAAATACGTTTCCCACTTTCTCTACGAGTCATATGTCTTCGTACGAACATCGATCCTTGTCCATCTTTCATTCCTGAACGATTTGATCGATTCTAATTCTAAAGAAATGAGCATGAACAATGCGTTGATAATTGGAGTAAAAGCACAATGTTTTCTAGAAAAAATGTTTCTTTGGCAATAGCTTGATAATGACGTATTTAAAATTTTTACACACGTTAGTAGATTTGAAGAAGGAATTTTATATATTAAATAATATATAAAAAGAATATATGAATATATTATTCAGTTAAAAATAATTACTGAAAGTTACAGCGTTCTGTCTCTTAATAATTATATGATTTGTGATTATTGTAAAGGATATAGAAAATAGGAAAAGAATAATGAACATATCCTGAGTCTAAATAATCATATTTTCTGACCTTGATAAATTCATTTCTGATACGAATAAAATAGAAGAATATATCTCGACTGAATTTTTGAGCGAATCACGAAAGCAATGAATATAAATACTCAACTTTTTTACCTTTTTATTCAAATGCAGAATCTACGTTTCTATAATAATGATTGGATAAGATGGTTTAGACTGATTTTCAATAGTGGCTCGATAAGTTTAATTGATAGAACGATATGATAAATTTATTAAACATTGCAACATATTTCGTGAAACACCACAGCTTGTCCATCATCGTTCCAAGTGAAAGAAAGAAGAAAGTGTAAAGATTGTCGCGGTTCGATACGTTTCGTTGTTTTTTAACGATTATTTTCGATATTGATAGAATCGACGCAACCGGCAAAAAAAATTACGAATGTTGTGCATTATAATCAAAGCGTTTTACCATAAAATCTTAATACTCCACTTCGGCGAAGTTGAAGAAAAAATGCAGATGAATGAGATATATATTTTCATCGCGCATAAATTGTACACTATTTCAATTAGATGGCTTTTTTTTTATCAAGATTGCTTATTGTTCATTGTATTGAGTGAATTCGAACAATTGGCCAATGTATTACTATCACGCAGGAATATCTATACTATATTTGCTTTCCATAAGATGTAATTTAGCTTCAAAATAATTATAAAATTATAAAATTTGCATAATTGAAATAAAATAATGTGAAACAGAAATGTGAAAAACACTTGGAAAATTGGGATTTACAATTGAAGAGAATAAGTAATTATAATACATCAAATTATTTAAACATAATTGACCAGTCTTTTTAAGTTTATTTTGCAAATTACATATATTTAAAGATTGACATATATAATAGATATATCACTTGGTAATGGTAATCAATTTAGTCGATGAATATAATTTGCTAGGTAATTTATTTACTATAATAAAAGACATTCAGATCTAAAATCTTTCATAGAAAATTATTATCTGCAATTTGTATAAGAAAATACAAAATGCTGTTCTCCTTTACTGAAAGTTAATTAAAATATTAAAATATTTATCAGTAGTGGTGGAATCTCGTTTGCATGACAAGCGGGCATTAAAATTAATTGTCAGTAATTTAATGGCTGCTCTCGAGTTGTTAACGTAGAGTTACCAGGTGTTGCATTGATCATTTCCTCGTTATTTCCCTTTCTTCTCTAGATAACCAGCGTGATCGATGTTTTCACGTTTGTCCGCGTATTCTCAGAAATAGTTACCAATTCAATTACCCATTACGTTGGACGGAAAATTTTCTTGGTCCAATGTGGTGCCAGCATGTTTATTGTTCGTTCGAAGATACAACATGATGAAATTAATAATTATTTCTTAAACTTACCTTGCAACTTAATTTGCATTTTGATGGCCCACAATGTACAAGAAGTATGTCTTTTGTATACTTCTTACTAATAACGTATTTGTCTGCACGTCAAAATTATCTACATTTATAACTATTATAATCTTCAAGCGATATACAGTTTGATCTTGGTCTCTAGATAAACATTTGTTATGTTAATGAACAAATAAGAAACTTAATTATGTGCTTCACTTTCTATACTTGCATGTAGAAACTTTCATTATTTGCCAACTCTATTGTTAAGTGTAAAAATCTAAAATTTAATATGAAATTCTCACGTTAAAAATATAGGTGATCGTGAAAAATGTTCGGTGATATTTTCACTCTGTGAAACAAGGTTAACAAGTCAGTAAAAATAAAAGAAGTTTAAAGTATAATGCGTTTCGTTTGTCGTGTGCAGTGTGCAGATCATCTGCATAAGTACCATTTACGTGAGAACGATGCTAATAAGAAGCACGTAGATTTTCGTGTGCTGGATGATTAACGATGTCTAAAATCAAGAAAGAACGAAGAAAAATTTATCTTTTTGTCCTGGTCGTCATACGCAATTGCACAATAATATATGAACGTTGTCCGAAATGCGTAATACATATGCATAAACACGTGCGTGGAGTTTTAATATTTTAGCCTTTCGAGTTATTATTTAAATACTATATTGTTATTTAAAAACTACGAGGCAAATACTACATTGTTATATAGAAACTACGAGGCAGTTCACTTTTTAGCCTAAATTTGACTTAAAAAAAGAAAAAATCTAGAGTCAAAGAATTTAAATCGAAGAATTTCATTGATGACAAATCCACAGTATTTTGTAAAAAATGAGTGACGTTAATTTAATTGTTACGTACAAGTTTTTCATTTTACATTGAAATACTGTCGTAGATGAAATTTCATATTTTAGTCACGTAATTAAACGTTTTATTATTATTTAATATTAGACAAAATGTAAGAAGATATTTAAGTGAAATTTCATTTCTGATGATCTTTAAGAATTGAAATTATTCTTCTGTGCAGTGTTCCAAGGAAGAGTGTTACAAGTTTATTTCGTCCAAATGTGTATTTTGTTATGCAATCTGATCTATTGTTTGTTAGGATATTGTTTATTAGGGTTCTGTAACCATGCGATTCACGAAGAGAGGGTAGTCATGCGATAATATTTTATCTGTTTATGTAAATATATTATATCCGAAGCACATAAGACGTAATTTTTCGCGTTAATTATATTAACAACGTTTATCTTCCTGTCTATGTTTTGACGTATGTACATAATTTAAACGTTAGATGATAACGTAACTTAATACGTGTACGTTGCTGGCGTTTATCTTTAACTAGACACACATTCTATAGCGAAATGGCTGCATTAAACAGATATCACCGCGTTTGTTTTTTAAATTTATGCAGGTATTCTAGTCTGATTTATATATTAGTGACTCCAATAATATAAAATTCCTAAGTGATTGACGTTGAATCTCCGTTGAAAATTGGAATAAATATCAATTTTGGCGGGCATGCGATGGAAAATATTAAACTGCTTATATTTTAGTAGTGTAAAGTAGAGTTAAGGATTAAAGTAAACGAAAATGCTACTTGTCTCAGAATAATGTTTACTAAGTGTTTCATATCTTGAGGGAAATTATTTTTTAAATCGTTCGTTTTGAATTCTTCATCATTTCATTACACTCATTTACATCTAAGATAATTTAAACAACAATTTTAACTCTTGTACTATATTTAATTAATCTGTAAAATTTACAAATCAACCAACTATATCGTAATGAAATTTCAATTTCAAAGGTTTGCAGTTAAATTGGACGTGAAGCATCAAGAATCGTCGAAAGTCATCGGAGCTTCTCTTTGCCTAAATACAGAGTCGCTAGATTGCAGATGATTCTGAATAAGCTAACGACGTGAAATTTCGAAAGTACTCAGCCGTTGCTCGTATGTTAAATGGATATCGATAAACAAAAGGCTTCCAGCGCTTCCTTCTATCCATAAGTTTACGTTTTTATCATCTCTGCCGATGGCCTTTCATTCTGTTCACTGTCACGCATACGCATCCGTCCACCATTAACCAACACTGTAATATGAACTTCCTCGGTTCTTCTGGCCGGTCATTTCCTGTACATACATATATAGATTACATCGCTTCTACTTACGACGTACTCTCGTCTGTCGCGCTTGAAAACTTAACGTGAAAAAAAAAAAAAAAATCACTTCTTCACCAATCTACATCTTTCTTTTAATCATACAAGATTTGGATCGTTAATCTCTTAATTGGAACGGATGAGTTAACTCGTCACCGAAATTGCCAATATCTTGATCCCATCATGCAATTCATTTGTTCGAAGATTTCCATCTTTTGCAATGTCGTCTTCTTACACTTTTGTCTATGTTTGTATTTCTATCGGAAATTATTTCCGTTTGTAAACTCAAGTCATATAATAATTTACATTTGTAACTATTAATTTCGAAGGTATTTTCATTTAATTTAGAATTTATTAATACACGTAAAATTTATTATCAGTATCAATCTGTTAATTTTATATACGATTAATAATATTAAATTGTATGAACTTTTGTCTCGAGAACAATTTAATTAATGTGCTTTAAATTCTATTCAGTTAAAGTTTAGACAATTCGATAATTAATCGTTTTGATATTCGAGATTCATTTATAATAGAAAAGTAAATGGTATAAGAAAGATAAATTATTTACAGATGATGTGCCACGTAAATTTTTATTGTTGCTTTATTAACATGTTTGTTTCTCTTTCATTTTTAAGAGAAATGGAAAATTGTTGTTCAGGAATTTATCGTTTCTGAAACTCCGCTTAGTCAGCGCATAGTTTAATCGCGATTGCAAGAAAAAAAAAAAAAGAACATAAACCACTGCAAAGCGCACGTGATGCGTTACAATTTAAGAGTTAGTGAATGAACGCGATTCTTTACATAATTTCTCTTTTTCCTTTGCCTTAAAAATAATCATTCAACAATTGCTGAACGCCATCTCTCGTGCACGTTGTATACAAATGCAAAAGTATGAGTTATTTTACAGTAAAAATAGGACTTTTCATTATATTTTTGCAATGTATGACAAACTTTGCATCTTTGAAATTAATAATTTGGAAAATGGTCAATTTACATAAATGTAAATATAATATCCATGTATACACTGTCAACATAAAATGTTAGTAGTTTAATTTACAGTGGTAAAAACATAAATGAAAAATGACTGTATAATTATATCTTCGTTAAAATAACAAAGTTTCTTTAAATATTATCAAAAAGTACACATTGTAAGGATTGATGTAACGTGGATGTTCATGTAGCCTCTTATGTAATTTTTACTGATTACAGCATTCGTTTTATTCATTTGATATTTCACAAACAATGTACAATTTATTTACTCACAGTCAATTACAGATGATTTTTATTCTTTCCATATTTTATAATATATATGACAACTTTACTACTTTAATATATAATGTAAATTCTTTGTTACCATCAATACCATTTGACAGTATATTGATCACATGAAAAAAATTATCATTCTATTATAAATAATTAAAAATATCATTTTCAAAATTTTTCTTAGAATCTGCTATTATTTAGCTCATCTTCCTACGATAAATAAACGTAAAAATGAAAATCATCATGTACGTTTCTTGAAAAATTGATGAAAGTTTGGCTGCTGAGAAATTCAAGTAACAATTCAGTGTAACAGTAACGCAACATCGTTTCTAACAAACATAATATGTTTCAGATAGCAGTAAGCAGACGTTTGTAACACCAGTTCTTCGCGCCGCTATCACGCGACCGCGATTTACATCTCGGCGAAGAGAAAATGTTTAATCGCCTTTCCCGAAAACCGGCGGTGCCTTTCCAATTACATACATCGTCCCTGCCTGGGCGAAACAAGCCGCAACTCGTATGCAAGTCGCACATACGCGGACAGACACGCGCCTGGTAAATAACCATATGTCCTTTAAAAGTCCAGCCAGTGAGAGTTCCACATTCAAAAAACATCACAGTCCCGTCTCTGTTCCAGGGCCCGTCCGTATGTCTGTCAGATTGATGCAATTTTGCCAAAGCAGGGGAAAAACGGGATACGAGCCCGTGGGGGAAAGGTGGGGGCGAACGAGCAGCAGGTGGAGGAGGGCAGAGAACGAGAAAAACATTGCAAAACTTGGCGTTCGAACGTTGATCCCCACACATGGGGATACGAATGTAGAGAGAACCACGGTGGGATACGTCGTTGGACATATGTAGTATATATACATGCGTTACATTCACACGCGTGTATACACAGGTAATATTACACACCTGTGTTTATGCTTGCACATACGTGCAGACGTAGCCACGGACATTTCGGTCTCACCCACGGTTACAGGCACACGCTGGCGCTGTTTAGAAAGTCCGACAACGAGAACACGCTAAGGTACACCTTGGTACCAGAAGACATACCCATCAGAAAGGTGTACCAGAAGGTTCAGCAGCTTCAACCAGCTGGTGGGGGTAACCCTAAGCTAGCGGTGTCAGACGGTGCTGGCCGCTCACTGCTCGTCGATTCGCCGAGCGATCGACATCGAAGTGTTCTCGTCGATCGAGGAAACGAGAAAGAGAGAGGATTCCTTGAGATACCAAGCAAACATCCAGCAAAAGGGTATCGGGCGTAGTCAGAGTCGATTTGTCGTTCAGTGCTTTCTTTCGGAGGAAGAAGATAAAGGTATCAGGGAAGATGGAGAAGGAACAGCCGGATTCCTTGGCGACCGTAGCCGTCGTCTCGGAGAAGATGCCTCATCCGCCTCATAGTAATTACGCACCAAGCGAGGTGTACTCCTCTGCCGAACCGCCACCGGTAAGCCTTCAGTTTCCTTCGTATATTGAGAACGTTAACAGGGAACCTCTGTTTTCGTGGAAGGTTACCGAGCGAAACAGTTTCTTTCGTATCGACGTAGATCGATGTTGTCTGGTCAATATATTCCACGACTGATCGAGATTTAGATTTATTTCGAGCAGAGGTTCTAGAAGCACTGTGCTGTAGATGGTTTTACAAGGATGCTGAAACTTGGTTTCGTTTTAGTTAAATAGTCTTCTATAATTATTTTAGTTAAATATTCTTCAGTATTATAAATTACAAGTAATTTGTTGCCGATTAACGATATTGAGCTTAGATTTCTCATTTCACGATGCAAAGTTCGATTTCATTTCACTTAAATATTTCATTATAGTCTAAAAACGACAGTGACCAATAATGGAGTCTTTTACCTGGAAACAGGCGTGCGATTTAAAAACAGTTTGACATGGTGCGTGACTCCATGAGTTTGTTTGATAACGATCGCATTGGCAGCAGTATTATACACATAGACGATTGTTAATTAACATTTCTTTCAAATATTGGATTAGTAGAAGATATAATTTACGAGAGAAATATAATACAAGAGAAGAGAAATGTAATATAAAATTAGAAGAGATATATATTCAAAATCATTAATGAAAAATACACGAAGAATAAACTTTGAAATGAGAAAGTTTAGACAAAAAAGTTACCCAGCCAGACATCGTGTAATGGCGTGTAAATAAAAAATTTTCATTTTTCCTCTCGTTTTTTCTCCTTTTTTTCTTTAACAGAGTGAACGAGCGTTATATAATATAATTCTCGTTAGCGTTGCCTCATAAATTGTATTCTGATCTTTAAACGAGACTTCGCGGTTGATACATTTACCATCGTGCTAACCACAATTAGAATAAAACGAGCTTACGTAAAGACTTTTGCCAAAGATGGAAGAACGACAAAATGATTCGTTCTCGATCTCGGCTGAACAAGTAGCACAAGCAGAAATGGTTGATGATAAAATGTGCCGTGCCGATTACGCAGAGGAGATTAAATATATGAATGTGTTCTTTTGCGCAGCAACGCCAGCGCAGGAGAACTGTCACGACGAAGTTGTAAAAATGTATGCAAGGACGTCGGTCTCAGAATAAGTTCGCAGTTATAAGCGAAGGTGGTTTCCAGCTAGTAATCTCAATAATAATCATACATAATTAAAACTATTTTGCAACTAACTGACTGTATAATTATAAAAAAAAAAGTATCTCATTTCAATATTTTATCTTGGATAATAATCTTTTGGTGATTATATTAAATTACGAGTACGTAATGGTGGATAAATAGAAATAAATTTCACGCAGTTATACTTAAAGTTACGAGTCGGGGACTCGATTTTTTTTGAAGAGAAAAACTACCAAGAGGACCAAGGCCTCGCTGACTCGTTAGAGCTGGAGGTCGGATTACTCGAAAGAGCCGTGTAAAATTCAATAGCATACAGTGTGCTATAGATCATGTGGTATTCTTTCAGGCGAAGTTCTCAAATATATTTAAAAAAAAAAAATACACTCCGCACGGAGTTGACAAGAAACGTTAGCTTGAGGCCTAAGAACCTTCGAGGTCGATGAAAAACGAGGACTTCTTTTTCCTAATTTTTCATCGGCTTCGAGTAATAGAGGAAACATTTGATCCTCAAACAGATTGCCTTCTCTAACAGTCGGGGAGTAACGTTGCATTCAAATGAAAGGCACAAGGTTGATAGAGAGATAGATAGACTAGACAGTATAGTCTGCTAATATATTAATAAACCAGCATAGCGCGTGTGAACAGAATTGCTGTAAGAAAAATCTACACTTTTTTTTGTAGAAAAGTTCTTTCACATACGTAGTAAGAACTCTCAGTAATCTAAAAATAAAAATCACACGACGAGTTAGATCATTTCTCTGAATAAGAAATTTAAATGGAGTTGGATTTAAAAAAAAAAAAAAAAAAAAAAAACAACAAACAAATTCTCTCTGTCAATTAAAAACAGTTGAAGTTAATATTAAATTTCAATTCTTCCGCTAGATATACAATGATTTCTACACATACAAACATATTTAAATCATCATTTTCCACAACTACTTTCCTTTCACATTTTCATTTATTCATGTCCAAGATACGATCTGCAGGTATCCCGTTGAAAATTACAAAGGCAGTTATACAACGTAAAAATCAAGTTTCATCTGAGGTAAAACAATTCACAGCACGTAAGAGGTTGATTACCAGAATTAGCTCTGCTTATCACGCGGAGTTTTGCAAAATTACAGGATAAAGAAGATAGATCGAGCGCGATAGATTTCGTCATGCAGCGGAAACGATGAATTATACCACGGCAAAGATCGTTCTGGCTTTGATACAATTTCGAATCGGGAGCGTTGTTCGACCGGTGTTTTATAAAAGAGCGCGGAAATCCGTGCAGCCAACGTACTTCCGTGAAAGTCTCTGGAACTACGTTTAATTGCGCGTACCACGCTCTGCCATACGTGTCCGTCTGTTTATTTGCTTGATCGATCAAAAGTCGCGTACAAAAACGAAAGAGACAATATGTAGCCGATGGTGGAAACAATCACGCCGCTTTTTATATCTGGCACGTTTCCGCGAGCGTGATATTCTGTATACTAGATAAGGGATAAACGTGTTTGGCTCGGAACGTGTTTCTCAGGAACGAGATATATTTCTCCACGAAACGAAACGCGCTGCCGCGTATTGGCGAAAGAATTTGTCGTTTAATTAACCGCAAACTTTCTCTGTCAATAATCGTTGCGATTGTCAGAAGTGTCGGTGTGAAATGAAAGTCCCCCATAAAACATTGAACGCGCTTTCAAGATTGGCCGTGTTGTCGCTTCGTTTCTTTCTTCGTTATTTCCAATTTTTTTTTTTTTTTCTCTTGTCCGTAAAGGAACTCGACGAACGAGTTTTTTTTTTTTTTTAAAGCTTTCGCTTTGAAGAAATTAATTTCAAAGATCTTTCAAAAATCAAGATCTCGAAGTTTTATTCTTTTTATTTTTTTTTATTTTTTTTTACTGAAGGCCCGGAAATATCACAATATTTAAATAAATATTTTATATTATGTAAAATGTCAGACGTAGAGTGGTGAATAATATGCGATTAAAGGTAATGGCAGAGGGATACTTTGTCGTTTAATTATCCTCTCGAAAAATACAGTTGCACTAGGAAATCCCAGAGAAATGGATGATACTTAGGAGACGTAAATGACAGTACTCATAATTCATGTTTACCGTAGCAACACGTTCGTGTGCGTGTTCGTTCCAAGTAAATAAATGCACTGTCATAAACGAGTGATTTTTCAACGAGAGTCCGTGAAAACAGTTAGCTCGTATTGCAAAAAGGAGAAACGAATCTCCGTGGGAACATTCTTTAAATTCACCCTATAAATTTGAAATGAGATGTTTGACTTAATGATCACATAAATGAAATGATAGCTGGCTACATTTCCTACAATTGAATATTATTTACATTGGACGAAACAATTTCACAATTTTATATGATCTTGTTCGTATTGTTTTTCCCTATCCGATCGAACTTTCATATGTCGTTAACGTGATACGATATTATGTTCTGCAAAATCATGCATGACGCGGTTTTCAACATTGGCCACGCTTTTTTTTTTTTTTTTCTTTTTTCATTCGTTTATTTCATTGAAACCGGAAACTTTCTATCGCTCGTGAACGCGGTCATTCGTTGCTAGTAGAAACTTCTATGGTTACCGCTTAACAGCCTGTTGTTCTTTGAGTCTCAAAGATTTTACACGGAATTTAAATTTCCATCCTCGAACAGTGCGTGTTCTCCACGACGTCAGTGTTTGTTTCAAATCGACACAACAGAAGAACATTAAATAGAGAATATACATTCACGGCCAACAACAGTAATATTTCACGTTCTTATCTTCGAAAAAAAAAAGTTTTCAACGTAGTTTCTACGTATTTTTTTATTTTTTTATTATTGTAAGATTGCATATTTTCGATGAAAAAAGGAAAACAACTTTGACGCAAAGTATTTTTGAGGAGATCTTATATACAAAAGAGCAATTGTAATTTTTAAATAATTACGTATGTTTTATATGTCAGAAATGACATTTTCCTAAAAGAAACCATAAAAGACGAAACCATTCACATAGACGACGCAAAATGCTCTTGAAATAATCCGTGACTAAGCGCACTTACTTCCCCTTTCTGTGCTTTAAAGTAACGTTTCTTTTTGCTTCTATCTGTAATTCATATAATTACAAAATTTGAAAACGGTATTCGCTACGACGACCGCACCGTTTTTCATTGTACGGCAAACGCCGACGAACGAGAACATTTGTAAGACTGACAGATTTCACCTGCAGCGATTTAAACCTGCGTTTCTTTTTCAATCGAAGCGTGACTAGAATCGTACTATTCGGGTTCTACGGAATTCACAAGTATGTGTCTCGAATTTTCATATAACCTATCCGAGCGCGGGCAATTACGTTTTCCAAGAAATCACTGGCTATTGTGGAACCGACGACAATTATATTATATACAGCAATTTACTTGCAAATTTATTAAAATTGATTAAAAGTCGATATTATATCGTTTCAAAATTGCAAACTTGTTCATAGATTAAACGTTCCTCTTTTCTTCTAATCTTCTTTTTTGTAATTTAAATCCGACCTCATAATGAAACGTAACGTGTACGTAATTTTCTTTGATTTTTGGTAAAGTAATTAACAACTAAAATAATTAATGCTAATAATTAAACATAAATCATCGCGCATTTATAATTATCTCTCCTCTGTATATTTAGATACATTTTGTCAATTATTTCATCCAACAGCAAAAACATTTGATTTTACGTTTGCAAAGGATCTAATCTCGAATGACGGCCGCAATACGCATATCGTGTATGCCTGGAGACTTTAATGCTTGGTTCGGAGTCATCCGCGGGACAAAGTTGGGAGCACACGGAGACATATGTAGATAGTAATCATTTCATAATATGGC